TCCAGATGCTAAGGGCCTTACACTGGTCATGCCCATCCCTTTTTACTTTTTAGACAACGTCTCACTAAGTTGCTTAGGGCCTCACTTAGTTGCTAAGGCTGGCTTTGAACTTGTGATCCTCCTGCCCCAGCCTCCCAAGACATTGGGATGACAGGTGTATACAACCACACCCGGCTGCAGATTTTTGGATGTCTAGAGCAGGGAAACCAGAACAAAGAGAATGGGAAACTGTCTCTCTTCATCTAGCTCCACCTGAAAGGAGGACACAAGGGTAGCAACTGAGTGGCGGTTAGGTTTCATGAAACTTTAGATACAAGAATGAGAAATTAACCCAAAACCAGCTGGACCATTTAGGGCAAATTACACCTAACCTGTCAGGTCTGTAAGGAGGACCAAATGAAACCACAGTAGTAATACAGCCACTATGCTGAGTAATTATTATGCATTACTTGTTTAATGATCACATCATATGATGGGATACTGTTATGATTTGCATTTTACAGCAGGTATTTCTAGCTACTCAGGAGGCTGAGGCAGGAGGATTGCAAGTTCAAGGCCAGCCTCTGCAAATTAGGAAGATCCTGTCTCAAATAAAAAGGGGCAGTGTAGAACACTCCTGGGTTCAGTCCCCAATACCACACACACAAAGAAGTTACAGATGAGTGAGAAAATACAAAGTCACATAAGTTGGTAAAGAAGCATTCAGTGACAGGCTAACAGTGTTAGAGTGGGCTGACTTTGAAGACCATGTTTGTTTTTTTTGTACAGGAGCTTTAACCCCAGGGGCTCTGAGCCACATCCCAGGGTGTTTTTTTTTTTTTTTGAGAGAATGAGAAATTTTTAATATTTTTCAGTTTTCGGTGGACACAACATCTTTGTTTGTATGTGGCGCTGAGGATCGAACCCGGGCCGCATGCATGCCAGGCGAGCGCGCTACCGCTTGAGCCACATCCCCAGCCCCCAGCGTTTTGAGACAGGGTCTCACTAAGTTGCTTAGGGCCTCACCAAATTACTGAGGCTGGCTGTGAACCTGCAATCCTTCTGCCTCAGCCTCCTGAGTTACTGGGATTACAGGTGTGCACCACCACGCTTAGTTTGAAGATAACATTCTTTAAAAAAATTTTTTTTTTAGTTGTAGATGGACACAATACCTTTATTTATTTATATGTGGTGCTGAGGATTGAATCCAGTGTCTCACATGTACAAGGCAAGTGCTCTACCACTGAGCCACAAGCCCAGCCCTGAAGCCCATATTCTTAATCCTGCATTCCAGGTTTATCAAACCAACAGGCCAGAAGATAGACTCTGACTTAGAGTTCTCATGAGGCTCAGTTCTCTCCCCAACCCCCTTTTCAGTAGCACTAAAGTTATCACTGAAATGCAATATGGGCCATAGACATCGCTGGAGATCCTGACATTTCAATCTATCGTGAAGTTTTATTGCCCATACTCTTGACAGTCTGAAGAAACCAAAGCAAGTGCAAAACCAGGTATGTCTCTTAGGTACTATCACTATGACTCAGTGACAGGAAGCTTGGATTTTGATGCCAAGACCTACTTTTTTTTTTTTTTTTTTTTGAGAGAGGAGAGAGAGAGAGAAAGAGAGAGAATTTTTGATATTTATTTCTTAGTTCTCGGTGGATACAACATCTTTGTTGGTATGTGGTGCTGAGGATCAAACCCCGGCCGCACGCATGCCAGGCGAGCGCGCTACCGCTTGAGCCACATCCCCAGCCCCGCCAAGACCTACTTTTGCCAAATTGTTGCTTGGGTCATGAAATCTCCTTGTGCGTAAGATGAAGCGCATGCCCCCGACCTCGTGGGGTTACTGTGAGAAGTACAGATGCGTTCAGAGCACCGAGTGCAGTCCCTGCCACACAGCAGGGCCCGAGAAACACTGGCTGTGATTACTGTGATCATCACTGTCATTCTGCCACACAGCTATGGCCAGTGACACTTGGCCTTTGCATCTGGCTGTGATGGGATACAACTAACCCCAAAGCAGAACAAATGACAAAAGGCCTCGTAATATCCCTCCCGGACAGTCAGAGGGACCACAAAGCCCCTGAGCTACAGGAAACAGGCTTGGTTGTAGAAGGGTCCCTAAAGCCTCTGTGACTGTCCAGCTTTCCTTGATGCAGTTTCAAATAACGTGGCTGATTTCTCAGTCCACTAGACATCAGGAGTCACAAATGTGATGTGAAGAGGCAGGCTGCTAGTGGCTGGCACGTTAAAGGCTTGGAAGAGTGACAACTGGCAGCATGACCACAGGAGAGAAGGCAAACTCTGAAAAGCCATCAAGAGGACTAAAAGGACAGCTGCTGGGAGCTGGAGGGCAGGTGCAAATACACCCACCACCCAGAGACCAGAGGTCACCTCCGCTCTGACATGAGACCTGGTCCCTAATATCTGGGCTCTCTTGGGATGGCAGGAGGTGCTATGAAAGGCCAGATAATGGACTCTAACAACACATGAATGGACACTGTGTCACTTCTAGATAGAAGCTTTTGGAGCTGGTAGGTGCTTCATCCACCTGGGTCCCAGAATAAGGATAAAAATGACACTGAGCTGAGCCTACAGCTGACCCACAAAGGACAAGCAGCAAGGGCAAGAAACGAACTTTCATTGCTTTTGGGGGGCTGCTTGTTAGCCCCATATCATCTAGTCTATCCTAACACAATCCTAAAAGATTAAATGGGTCAGTTCACTCTAAGAAGTGGTGTTCTCTTTGGTATGCCCATTCCTAAGAGTCAATATTACATGCTGTGGCTTAATGGGTAATTTTAACCTAAATGGAAAATCTACCTAATCCAATGAGTCATAGCTGAACAGAATGGAGAAGAGGGTCCCGTTTCTAACCATTCCTTTCTCTTGAGAGGTCCCAGACCTTCTGTTGAGGGCTTTGCAAAACATACCTGTATTATTTATGGGTCTCAGGTAGAAGTAGGGTCTCAAGTGCTACTGCATTTGGGTGGCAACTCCTCAGGGCCGGTCCGGGGATCATCTTGTGAGTGCTGAGGGACTCTGATCCCCACGTGGGGGCTGGAGGGCCCCACAGTGTATCTGAATATGCTCTTGTGAAAGGAAGTCCACGATGCATTGTTGAGGAAGAGTGTGTCATCACATAAAGAATCCAGTCTTTTCAAGCACGGAATATTTACAAAACACACCTCACACATGGCCAACAATCAAGTTCCAACAAATGCCGAAGGATGTAAACCATGTGGGTCATTTTCTCTGACCACAAAGCAATTGATTGAGAAAATAATACCTACAGCTAGAAAACCCTTATGTGTTTGGAAAGTAGGAAACATAAATTTTAATAACCCAGGGGTTAAATATATCCCCTCACTTAATCCTTCCAACTCTTTATAGTACAGACCCTCACTTTGGAAATGCAGGAACTGAGACTGGGAAGAGAACAAAATCTGCTCATTCACCCAGTTAGCAATGTTGGAGCCAAGACTCCAAACTAGGCTATATAGCTCCAGATCCCTGGGACTTAATGACATCCTCCTGATGCTCCTAGGGTGCCACAAAATTCACAGATCCTCCAGTGTACTTTTTTTGTTAGCAGGGATTGAACCCAAGGGCACTTGACCCTTGAGCCACATCCCCATCCCTTTTTATTTTTTGAGATAGGGTCTTACTAAGTTGCTGAGGCTGGCTTTGAACTCGTGATCCTCTTGGCTCAGACTCCTGGACCATGGGACCACAGGCGTGCACCACTGTGCCCAGCCTCCAGCTTGCTTGGTGACCCGGACCTTGGACTACTGTGTAGATGCCCTTCCCTTTTGCTCCTGCCTATTCTGGGTCCCCTCCCAGGACTGAGGTTAGAAGCCTTGAAGGTGGAGGAGGAGTTTCAGGCTGATGAACTAGATGCCTTGGAGTCTTCCTTTCCTTACAAAGACTTGTACACAGGGCCCACGTGGTTAGTGAACAAAGTGGTTAGTGAACAAAGAAAGACAGAAGGAAGAGTCACTTCCAGATGGCTCCCCCTCTTGATCTAATGCAGATTAAAGAGAGAATATTCCAAATCTATCATTAGGCAAACGTGAGTATCGATATCATTCAAATTATAAATGAAACAGAAAAGAAATTTCATCTTGGGCTGGGGATGTGGCTCAAGTGGTAGCGTGCTCGTCTGGCGTGCGTGCGTGCGTGCCCAGGTTCGATCCTCAGCATCACATACCAACAAAGATGTTGTGTCTGCCAATAACTAAATAAATAAAAAATAAAAATAAATTTATTAAAAAAAAAAAAAAGAGAAATTTCATCTTTTTTCTTTTTTTTTGCCTCAGACCCTGAGGCAAACAAGGAAGACCACTAAAGCGCCCTGCTTCTGAGCAGGTTGGCGGTTCGAGTTATCTGAGGTAACAGGCAAAACTGAGCTGATCCTAGACTTCTCTAGGAGTGGCCTTGGAGTCTGAGCTGACCAAACTACCTCGCTCTGTGGCAAGTCCTGTGCTAACGATGACAGCGCTACTCTCCTCTCTGCCCAAACCAACTTGCTCATTTGCTTCCTGGCAAAACCCTCAAACACCCAGAACTCTGAGGCACCCCTTTGTGCTGTAGAGACTCTCCCTGTCAGAACAATACCACCCGCCTCCTGTGGGCTGGAGGTATAACTGAGGCCCAGAACTAGGCTTCAGGCAATGAGAAAAACTGAAAATAAATGGCAAATCTGGTGATGGCCCGTATCCTTGAAAATTACCTACAGTGCCTGTGTCACCAAGTGGCCCTGGGGAGGGAGAAGGTGGAGAGGCGGGAGAGGCAGTGCCAGGCAGGGCAGAAGCCCTGAAGGTCTCCCTCTGTGTTCCGGCGTCACCGTTGCCACAGAGGAAGCAGCACTGGCCCAAGGTGAGGCAGGAGGCTGGGTGGGGGGCTCAGTCTTCACCTCCCGGCTCCACAGGGCTCAGCCTGGGGCCCTCGCTCCCCCCACCCCCCCACTGCTTGTTCCCCACACCATCAGGGTCCCACAGAATCACTTTGTCCATCAGTTAATGATCCCTGTCACAATGTGAGTTTAAGATCAACAAGTCCAAGATCAAAGAACCCAGCTATCCAATCAGCAGGGTGATTAACCCCCTCAGCCAGTGAAAGAGAGTCCTGTGGACCCCTCCCGACAGGCTATGGGTGGCCCCGGGAAGCTCAGCTCGAGTGACCTTTTACAAATGGCCAGTTGAGCCTACAGACTAGACAGATGGTGTGGAGCCCCCGGGATGAGGGACGGTCCAATGCCTTCGATGAGGTCGTTCCATTGATCATAGTTCTCTTTCAGGTCTGAAAGGGGAAAGAAGAGGAAGGTTAGGCAAATCATTGTAAAGTGAGGCCAAAGAGGAGCTCTCGGGGACTCGGGGGTCATCCCAGAGGGGAGCACCTGGGATACCAGGCGGACTGGCTGGTGGTTGTGACAGCGGGAGCAGTAACGATCACTCTGTGCCTTTATAAATGACTGACTTAATCTGCGGCAACTCAGTAATGATGTAACAGCTGGCAATACACCCTGCAGCAGAACCATTCCAGGGGATGGTGTTTCACATAATTTTCACAATCACCCTGCGGGCTAAGTGCCACTGTTAGCCCTATTTTATAGTTGAGAAGCTAACCTGATTTGCCCAAGGTCAGCTGCAGCTGATAAGAGCTGGAGACAAAATTTACATCCAGGACAGGAAGGCAGAGAAAATGGAAAGTCAGCTTCCAGGCTCAGGGATGTTGCTAAACAAGACGAGATCCTAGTACATGGCCACTGGGTGCAACTATCACGTCACCCCAGGCAGAAGCCACAGGGTAGCAATCCATAAAGCAGCATTAACACCAGGCGTTAACTCCAGAGGAGGCCCTGGGATCACGTGCAGAAGGGCCTCACTTGGCAAGAACAGTCAGGAGGATCCCAAGTTCAAGGCCAGCCTCAGCAACTTAGTGAGAGCCTATCTCAAAAAAAATCCAAAGGGCTGGAGGTGTAGCTCAGTGGTAGTGCACACCTGGGTTCAATCCCCAGCACCAGAAAAAAAAAGAAAGGGTCTGGGACTGGGGTTGGGGCTCAGTGGTAGATCACTTGCCTTGCATGCAAGAGAGGCACTGGGCTCAAATCTCAGCACCACACAAAAATACATAGATATTTGTCCATCTACAACTAAAAAAAATATTTAAAAAAGAAAGGGTCTAAGCTCTTTAGCCAAGGGAGGAGGGTTCAGCTGAATGGGCAAATGGTGCCTTGCTCAAGACAAACAGAACCCGGGACAAAGGGAGGGACCATTCTCATTTCTCTTTGGGTATCCAGTGCCTGGCATGGAGTAATTGCTCAACACATCAGTGCTACATAGTCACTAACTCAAAAAATATTGAACACACCCACTGTGTGCCACCTTCTGTTCTTAGTGCTTAAAATACATCCAAGAGAAAAAGAGGCAGAAACCCTGTCTTTAGAGAGCTCATCATCTAGTGGGCAGAGAGAGACTCAAACAAAATAAATTATGGAGGATGTAAAAGGGAGTAAGTGTTGTATGTGGGGAGGGACAAGGCTGAGGGTGGAGGTGAAGGTGCTGTGATGTAAAAAGGGTAGTCAAGGTGGAGAGGATGAGATTTAAGCAAAGACTCAAAGGAGGTGGGAGTGAGCCATGAGACTATCTGAGAGAAATGTTTCAGGCAGAGGGAGCAGCAGTGCAAGGGCCCTGAGGCAGGAGTGTGCCTGACACTGAGGGTTTATGTGGTGAGAGTGAAGTAGGCTAAGGGAAGAACAGTAGGAGCAGAGGCCAGGAAGGACGGTCACATCAGACAGGCCCGCAGGAATGAGAGACTCTCAGAGAAATGCCATTGTTAGATTGAGAGCAAAGGAAAGACAAGATCCGACTAACTTCCTAAAAAGACCACTCTGGCTGCTCTGTTAAGAAAAGACTCAATGGGGGGAAAGAGGGACAGGCTGGAGACTGGCAGTAACTGAGGTGAGAGGTGACAGACAGGATGGGGCTGTGGGACTGGTGACATATATTCCTTTTTGTTGGGGCGGGGGATGCTAGGGATTGAACCCAGGGCCTTAGATATACTAGGTTAAGTGTTCTACCACTGAACCACATCCCCAGCCCATTTCTGAGGGACTGGATGGGAGATCTACTAGAAGTGACAATCTTTGACCTAAGAACTAACTGTAGGGATGGAGTTGGCACCATGCTCTTCAATCTCCAGAACTGTTAAATATACCTGCTAACGATAACTGCTAAATAGATCTCTTTTCTTTATAAAGTCTCAGCATCAGGCATTTTTTGAAAATAGATTAAGCCAAGGTCCAGGCACTGAGCCCTGGAAGTGGCAAGGCTGGCTGGGGGAAGCGAGAGGAGGCAATCTATGACGCCAGAAGCAAAGACAGTAAGCCCTCCACAGCAGAGGGCGTTATCAACCCTCCCTGAGCTGCTCAGGGTTGCAGTGAGATGAGGAACAGGAACTGGCTAAGGATTTGGCATTGTGAAGGTCACGAGGACCTTGACCCCAGCAGTTTTGATGAAGGAGTGCACTACAGAAGCCTGAGAGGACTGTGCTTTAGATGAGAATGAGAAGAAAGGAATTAGACAGATAAAGACAGATGTCATTCTGAGAGTTGGAGGGAACAGGGCATGGGTGATAACTGGAGGGGATACTGAAGTCCGGAGAATTTTCTTTTCTGCTTGTTTTGCAGTGTTGGGACTGAACCCAGGACTTCACACATGCTGGGCAGGTGCTCCACCACTGAGCCACAAGCCCAGCCCCAGCGTTTCTATTTTTTTTACTTCAACTTGTGGTCCTGAGGAATGAACCCAGGGATTCGCTACCCCTAGCCACATCCTCAGCCCATCTTTATTTTTTATTTTGAGACAGGGTCTCATGTCTCCCAGGCTGGCCTCAAGCTGCAATCTGTCTCAGCACTCAAGTCACTAGAGTTACAGGCATATGTCACGGCAACTGGCAGTTTTTTCCCCCCCATTTCTTTAGTTTTTAAGGAAGAAACTTTGGCATGAAATAAACCAGTAGAGAAGATGATCTAAAGTAGAAGACAAGCTGCTGCTGTGACCACCCTGAGCAGACAGAAGAGCCGGCCCGGGGGAGGGGCTGCGGGGGTCTGAGGAAGTGCTAGTCGCCTCCAGTCGCCTTGAAGTGGGAGGCAAAGTTGCTGAGCTGAGAGACAGGCTGAGGCAAGAAGTGCCAGGGGTTTAGGGAGGAAGGAGAAGGTGTGAACAGTCCTCTAGGAGAGTGGGCAGAAGGCTGAGGAGCTGGAGACGGGGAACGCACAGTGAACACAGAGCAAGCAATCATCTTCTTCCTGGAAGGTGACACCCTGGATCAGCAGAATGGTTTTTTCAGGAGCTAGAGGTGCAGCTGAACCACCTGCAGACTATTTTAGTTTCCATGTGACAACACACTGAGCAGCCACCAAAAAAGCTTTTCTCTTTGCCAGGTGAACAGCCCAGGCCGTCTCCCACCTTACCAGCTCCTTCCACTGGGCTCGCTGCCTCTCAACTCACCCCTGCCCTCCTGGCCTCCAGCAGGCAGACTACGTTAAAAGTCTAACTGTGACCTTCTCCTGCTTAGAACCACCGAGGGCTCCTCCTAGCCTGTGGGTTAAATCCTGAACTAACTTCAGCAAACGCATGGGCTCTACATCTGCCCTCTGCCCACTTCTCTACCTCTACATTTCAACAATTCATTATCCTGAGCTCCAGGTACACCAGAGAGCTTCTCAAAACAGACCAAGACCACTGTCCACGGGACTCTCGTCCCTTCCCTGCCTGGGAGCTCTCTTCTCCCGTCAAGATCAAGAGCAAGCGTCATTTTGTTTAGAAAACGCTTAAAACCTTAAGAGTCCAGCCGAGCCCAGCTCCCTTCTGATGTCAGGTGGTGGTGGCCTCCAATCAGACACCTGATTTGGGAATGCCAGGACTAGGTGGAACAGTGGCCAACAATGTGCCTTGGCAGGCAAAGATATGCTGATGCGATCAAACTGACTCTCTTGAGAATCTGGATGAAGACATTTTAAAAACATGGCGGAGGGCAGTGGGAGCCAACAAGGAAAGACCCAGGGGTAGGAGGAGTAGAATGAACGAGCAGACGCCGTCAGCACAAGGAAAAAACAGCAGGAAGAAAGAAAAAGACATCCTGGATGAACAGACGTGGACATCACGAGAGGACAGGACAGAGAGGCTGAGCTGGCCAGACAGACGGGACAAGACGACAGTCCTGCAGGTGACATTGGCTCATGTAACTGCACCAGCCCCTTGGCCCGGGCGCCCTCCCTTACATGAATTTCACTTTTTTCTCAAGGTAAGATAGTGAACTTGTAGTCTTTCCAACCAAAAGACTAGAATCAACCCTTATAACCATTCACATTCCCAGTGGCGGAGAGGGCTTGATGGCGCCCTGGGGAAGACGGCCCCTCTGGTGGAGGAGACCAGAGCTCGTAAAGGCCTTGCCAATGAGCTGACAGTGACTATGTCATGAGTCACAATCCTTCCGTGCTTGGTTTCTTTAAAGAACTTTCATACATTTAGCTCAGTTATCATAATCTCCCTCGCAATGTAGATAAATTAGTGATGATAAGCCTGGGTTAGGACAGTGGCGATGGAGTGCAGAGGTGAGTGCACTATTTGCAGTGAGGAACCAAAGCTCAGCGAGGCTGAATGACCAGTAAGAGCCAGACTCGGGGTCCCCCAACCTCCAGGCGCGTGCTTTTTCTTTAATGCTATGTAACTCCTTATCTTGGGGCTCAGCCATGTTCGTACTGATCACTGTGCTGCAGTGCATTCTAAGGGACCCCACATCTGCCCCTGGGCCCCAGCTCTCTTCTTACCAAGATGCCTCTGCAGGAAGGCCAGCATGGCCCGCACCATAATCTCTTGACCTTGATAGGGGTCCAAGCTCCCACGGATTTGGGTGGATAAGAATTTCACAAGCAAGTTGCCCGTCACAAAAGCAAAGTCCGTTTGACTCCGATGAACAGAACCACTAGAGGAAAAGGAAAGCATTGGTAGGGTTGGAGGTGAGGCACACCAGTTGAGCACCTGTGTGTCTGAGAAGCTTCCACGCATCGTCATGCATAATTTCCACAGCAACTCTTGTATAGGAGGTATTTTCCCCTTCAACAGAATGTGAGAAGTGGTCTGCCCAAAGTGACACAGGGGACAGGGCACCGAGCTCAATGCCAAACATTCACCGCACACATCAGCTCCCTGTCACAACTATGTACTTTGCAGTGCAGGGGGGTGGAACCCAGGGCTTTGTGCAAGCTCGGGAAGCCCTCTACCACCGAGCTCTTCCCCCAGCCCTCTAAATATATTTAATTCACAGATGAAATCCTTACTAGAAGGTTCATTTTAGGCTAAATTACTCATAACTAAATTCACTATTCAATTCAACGAGGGATGGAAAATTTAAATGCTACATTTCTGTGTGATATCATGCAAAAAAATGATTTCTTAAAAATACATTACTTGGGCTGGGGGTGCAGTTCAGTGGTAGAGTGTGTGCCTGGCATGTGTAAGGCACTGGGTTTAATCCCAGCACTGGAAAAAAATGCATTATTTGAACTAGAGACCATCATGTTAAATAAGAGGAAAAAGAAAAACAGAATTGGGGGTGGATCTCCTGAAAACCCAAGGGAGATTGCAGAGAAAAGGGGCCAGGAAGTGGGAGGGAGGCAGGCAGAAAGGAGAAAATGCTGGGGAGTGAACTGGCCACACTATATTGCTATGTTGTGTTTGTGTGCAAATATGCAACAGCAAATCCCATCAATACGCACCAATAAAAATGTGAAAAAAGGGCTGGGGTTGTGGCTCAGTGGCCGGCAAAGCACTCACCTAAGGCGTGCGCCTGAGGCCCTGCGTTCGATCCTCAGGATCATATAAAAATAAATAAAACAAAGGTATCGTGTCCAACTAAAAATAAATAAATAATTTTTTAAATGTGAAAAAAAATGCATTATTTAAGGTAAGAGAACAAAAAAAATGAATAGAATAATATACTTGGGCATCCAGCACGCAGTTTAAGAAGTAACACCCGTCAGAAGTCCCCTTTGCACACCCTGTCCCAACTTCCCTCCCCTCCTCTCCCCAGTGGTCACAAATGTTGGAGTCTGGCCTGGACAGACATTCCAGCAGTCCTGTCCCCTCCAACGCCATGAAACCAAAATGAAAGAGGAGGGGCTGGTCCTAGTGGAGAGCCTGGGCCGAGACAGGCCGGGGAGAAGCCACCGACCGTCAACAGACTGATGTTCAGGGGCTTGGCGCCAGGACATGCCAACACCGAGTGACTCTGAAGGTCTGGGCACACAGCCACATCCCATTCCTGAAGTGGGAACTGGGACCCCTGATGTGTGTGCTGTTGGGCTCGTGCAGGGCAGGATCAAGCCAGGGCGGTTTCAGTCCTGTTTGCTTCCTGAAAAGTGGCTCCCAGGAGAAAACCAACTGATGATGCTAGAGGTGAAGGCGAAGAGAAGGTGGTTTGGCCGGAATACAGAAGGTCACGGAAAAGAACACGTTAGAGTGACATCTGTGGATTCGAATGTTCATGCAAGTGCTAAGGAACTTCCAATGGATGGAGGTCAAAGGTCTCCCACACGCTCCAAAAAAACCCAACAAAACTCCAAGAAGGGTACAGAGATCTCTGGAACCCACCCAGACTCACACCCCTGCCTCTCCAACACGCAATCCCACAATGCTCTTCTACCAGAAAGCACCAGGTAAACCCTGTGGTAAAGTCAGATCAATTCCTGCAGAAATCCCTGTAGGTGGAGCTAAGTGGAGAAGAGGGACGGGAAGAAACTATAAAGAAATTAAGATTGTGGAATTCAGGAGCTATTCGGGTATTCTGTTAATTCCAGATACTACGAGACAATCCAGAAGAAATTAAGGGAGTCAATGGAGAGGACACAAGGTCCTGCCCACGGGGTTTACTCACAGGACAGTTATGATCCTGGACTGCTTGTGCTGGGTGCAAACCTTCTTCATCAAGTTGACGCTCTCCACTGTCTGGAATTTCTCGGCATTGATAAAGAACACAGGGCCCCGGGCCTTGGGGTAAAAGTCACGCTCCAGAGGAAACATCCAAGCATCCAAGGCCACAGCACATCTGGAAGAGGACCAGATATTTGGAGCTGCCACATAGAAACTCGGGCAAGAAGAGTCAGGGTGGTGGGGGAGGGTGGGGTGCTTCCCTCCAGTGGGCTAAAGGCTCAGGAAGCCAGGGAGGAGGTACCAGGGCCCAGGCCCCTCAGTTAGGATCCTGGATTTACCAGTTACCAAAGATCCTCTCCGACAGCAAGGTCCAGACCTCTGTCTCTGGACCTGCTCTCGGGGCACTGACTCCAGTCATGCACAGTGGCACTTCAGTCAGCCACTCACCCTTTCAGTGCTCACTGAGCGCCTGCTGGGTGCTTAACCCTGTGCTCTGGACACAAGAGTTCTGCTTGAGTCTCAGGAAGCTCCCAGGCTGGCAGGGAAGACTGACAGGCAAAGCAGCGGGCACTCAGCTCAGTGCCCCGATTTGAAAGGTGCTGGGCGAGCCCAGAGCTGGCCTGGCAGGGGAGGCCAGGAAGATCTCCTTGGTGCCGAGGGCAGAACTATGGCCCCACGATTAGTCACCACCCCAACCTGGACCTTCTCCATCTCAAATGATGAACACCCAAAGGAAAGTCCCCACTTCCCCTCCTTCACCTCACTTACACTCAACCCTGAAACTCTAAAGTGCACCCCCGTGTTTCACTCACTTCTCTCATCCGGCTCCCTCCACCCTCACGCAAATCCTTCACCTCTCAGCTCACGCTGACAGTCGCCTCTGGCCTTGAGTCTGGTCCTGACACCATCCATCCTTCGCACAGTAGCTAGAGTAGCCACAGACTTTTTCAAAGTAAGATGCATTTTTTTTTTTTTAATCTTTCACTAGCCTCCCCTCGAACTTAGAATAAAATCTAAGCTTCCCTCCCCTGGCCCAAAGGCCCTGTCATCTCGCCCCTGTCTTCGGTGCCTGTCCCTCACTACACTCCACCCACTCTGATACAGTCAGCATGCGTCCACCTCAGGGCCTTTGCTTAGTCGTTCCCACTAGTGGGGAGGACTTTCCTCCGGACCTTTGCACGGCTGGCCTCTTTGCCTTTCATCTTGTTTATGTCTCTTTCTCAGAGAAGCCTGTTTCACGTCCAGCTCAATAGCCTGTTTCATGTTCTTCACTGCACTCAGGTGCTGGGCGCCTCCCTATCTGCTAGCTTCTGCACCAGGCTGTCCCTCCCACGTCAACATAATTCCAGGAAGGCAGAGATCTGGTAACGACTGAATCTCCAGCCCCCCCCCCCAACACACCTAGAACATAGCACTCACTTCCTGATACATGAGCACAACAGTGAATGAATGAGCCGGAGCAACGGCATCGCTGGGAAACTCACCGAAACTGGGCTTCCTTGGCCAAAGCCAGAACAGCTGTGGCCCCTCCAAATGAATGTCCCATCACAGCCACGCGGCTCAAGTCAATGCTGCCCTGAGGGAAGCACAGAACTTAGCCAAGCCAGAAATTTGGGACATTTTTTTTCCCCTTAAGGAATTCCTCAACAGCAAGAGGAAGAACCACTGAGGGGATGAGGAGGCTTGACACAGAGGAGGCCACCAGAGCCACACTGGGCCTCCTGCCGGAGCAGGCGCAGTGTCACTCAGTGGTAGGGCACTCGCCTACTGTGGATGAGGCGCTGGTCCAGTCCTAGCACTACACCACCAGAAAAAAAAGACCCTCTTGCCTATGAGCGCAGGCAGGCAGACAGTGCTGGGCATGAACAGCCTGCTGCAGGCAGAAGTTCTGAGAACCATTTTTCATTTCATCTCTATTTCTGTAATCTTACCATCTACCAACCTACCAATATCAGGCCTCGGGTGGACATTCAAATACCCATGAATAGGGGTTGGGGCTGCAGCTCAGACGTGTGAGGCACTGATCCTTAGCACCACATAAAAATAAAATAAATAAAGGCATGTTGTCCTTGTACAACTACAAAAAAATACCTATGAATAAGTGAATGGACACATGTTGTCAGGTTCCACACTGACTCGCCAGTTTAGAGCATGGCGAGAATAAGATCTCTCTCCGTCCTCCAGTGCCTTATGAACAGGTCCTGGGGATCTCCGGACCACACTGAGGGGAGGTCAGGGGTGTTCCTGTGGCACCTCCACTTCGCTCTGGAGCAAAGACTGTTTGTGCAGTCACTCACTCAGGTTCTACTTCCTCTTTGAGTATCTGTCCTGATTTTTATCCAAAGCCCAGAAGAGAGAAAGAATCTGTTCATTCTAACATGATCTGGAAGTATCTATTTCTGGTTGTCCCCATGAGCCTTCAGGGCATGGTTATATAAAAAACCACTGTAGCTGCCTGCTGAGGAGGGCCAGACATTTCTCTGGCTTTGTGGCCCAGCCTCTGCCCTGAAGCCTGCTCCCTCACCCAAAGGCTCCCTGCTGGAATCCTCCCCCTTCACTCAGTACCTTCAGCTTGGCCACTGCGTTGGGTGGACTTTTCAGCTTTTGAAAAGATAGGTCAATACCTTCAGGTGCCTCTGAAAACCAGAAGTACTGAGAGGTCTCTCCCTTCCCCATGCCTTTTCCACAGGTTGCCCACTTCCTCCCACAGACAGCTAACATTTTCTGCACGCATAAGCAAACAGGAATACATTCGTCACCCTCTTTTTATACTAATGGTTCAGTATCAGGCTGTTTTGTGTAGCAATTCCAGCACAGAAAGAGCTTCCCCAACCTTTCTTACAGCTACATTTTATTTCCCCATGGAAGAGACAGCTGGCTAACCACCAAATCGGTTCCTGGATGCACAGCTAGACTACTTCCCAGCAGTCAGATGAGGCCTCACGACTGAGTTCTAGCCAACAGAATGTGAGCAGAAGTGCCATCTCCAAGCCCAAGGCTGGTCCACACCAATCCTCTCAGAGGGACCTCCTTGCCTTCTCCCATTCTGTTAGCTTAATGTACACAACAAATCTGGGATTTAACAAATGAGATGGTAGAATCCTAGGGTAAAAGGAGCCTCGATCCCTGATTCACCTCTTGCTCAGGGGTACCCCAAAGACTTTACATAGGAGAAAAATAAATTTCAATAGTATAAGCCACTGAGATACGGGGTTTATGTGCTGTAGCAGTGAGCATTATCCAAACAATACAGCCAGGGTGCAGAGCCTATCAACCATCTCTATCACAGGTAAACATTTAAGCTACCGTCAATCTTTCGCTGTTACACTCTGTACAGGAAGAAATAACTTGCACATTAGCACACTTCATGAGGACAGGTGTTACAGGTTGAAGTCCCAGAACTGGAGATGGGAGGATCAAAGCACACATGCATCTGTACTGCTGAGAACTACGCCTAATGGCTCTCCTCGGGGCAGTCCCTACTGTCTGTCACCAGCCGTTAGGAGGATGACTACTTCTCCAGTGTGTCAACACAGGAAATAATCAAGTTTTACTTGGTCTGATGGTTGAAAATTACTTATGGTTTTTAATTCTGTGTTTCCAAAGGTTGCTTCTCAAATAACTGAACTGGGCCGCGGCTGCCCTTCCTCAGGTTCCCAGGCAGGTAGACCTGCACCTTCGTGCTTAGAGGCTGCTTCTCCAGAGTGGGGGACCACACACAGCAAGGCACTGGTAAAACCCTCCAGATTCTAGGTCCTGCCTCACTGCTGGACATCCAGGAAGATGATTCTCCTTAGAGGACACCACCAGAGGCTTACGAGAGATTTTTTTAAAGAGGTTTTGAGCCACACAGCACAGTTTATGGGTCAAAAAATTCCAGTTTAAAGTTTGACTCTACCACTGAGCTGAGTACTCTTGGGTAGACACTTAGCCTGTCTAATCTGTTTTCTTTTGATATGGAGAGGTTAATAATGCTGACTTCCTAAGTTGGTGTAAGGAGATCACCTAGGAAATAATGTAGGGGTGTGCCTACTCCTACAATAGAATATTGCATGGCCACTAAAAATCATGCCACCCCAAACCACTGACTAGCACAAAAAGACAGATTGTTTTGCTAAGTGTGTGTGGGGGCGGGGGAAGCCCACAGAACAACTTGTTTTAAATGATAACATTATTGTTTTAAAAAATATGTATGAGCTGGGTGTGGTGACACATGCCTGTAATCCCAGAGACATGGGAGGCTGAGGCAGGAGGATGACAAGCTTGAAGCCAGCCTCAACAACTTAGCAAGGCCCAAAGCAACTTAGCGAGGTCCTAAGCAACTTAGCGAGACCTGTCTCAAAACAAAAAAGGGCTGGAGATGTAGCTCAGTGGTTATGTGTCCCTGGTTCAATTCCGTATATCAAAAATAAGTAAACAAAAATACACATGTATTAATGCATTTTTAAAATAACTGGAAGGACCAATGTCAAAATGTCCAAAAGAACTGTTCTTTTTTCTTCATGCTTTTATGTGATTTCTTGGTTCCATGAATAAAGCCTGAGCTATTGAGGAAATCAGGTGGGGGGGTGAATGGCAGGGTCTCAAGGTGCCTTCCTAGGCACTCCAGTCTATGGCAGGGATGGTTGCATAACCTCCTGGAGGTTGCCGGGAGTGCCTCACAGGAAGGAGCCAGCCTGAAGTAGATCCTCCGTGAGGGAATGAACAGCCTCCTCTGTCCACACAGTCCTGGTGGGAACCTGCATCCTGCTGCTCAAGTCCCCACCCAGAAGCAGGCAGACAGAACACTCAGTGATTGATCCAGAAGGGGCCTGTGACCCACAAAGGGCCACAGCCAGGAAACTCAGTCTCCTTTCTTTTCAATTCTGGCGCAGTGAGTTGAGATACAGGACTGGACTGCCAGCAACCATCTTTCTAGGCAAAAGCAGGGACTATGGTAAGAAAGAGACCCACATACAGAAGGGAGAGAAGGGCTTTGAGGACAGTGTGACCCTGGACTGGCCTAAAGTTGACATGGGGTCTTGCTAGATATGTGAACCAGTAAGTTCTCTTTGGTTTAAGATAGTGAGTTTGGTTTGCTCCATGTAACCAAGGGTCACACCAGCTGCTGCCATACCTTCAAGGTCATCAGATCCAACCCTCCAGGCAAGATGTTGAGGACAGTCCTCCCAGCAGTGACTTCCTGCATGATCCTCAATACCTGCACACACTCTCCTACGCGCTGATGCACCTGCAACAGAGAGACTAGTGGGAACTGGAAATTCCACAACCATCCAGCAAGAAATCTCATCTACAGAGCCAACCGAGGAAGAATGCAAGGAAGGTTTGCCCCCTACACTCAGCAAGGACAGGGGCCCTTGCAGCTCACATGAGCACCGCCCATTAGCACAAGGCAATCAGTCCTGTCGTTCTGATTCTGCCTGCCCACAGGGTTGTCAGGAGGATCCCATGAGATGATGAGGACCGCCCCACCCCGAATCTAACTAGGCATTTCTGGTAGGAACTTTCATTTTGGCACTTCTCCGCAGGCTAGGACACCCTCTCCCAGGATTTTTCAAACTCCAGCATGGCAAGATGTAGGGGACTAGGGAATAGCCCCCAAACAGCTGAACATATGCAAGCTCAGAGCTGCAGAGGGCTGTGGTTCAAACCTCAGGAAGTAAGCCAGTGTGCAGATGAGCCTGATGGTAGAGAGCCAGAGACAGTGAATTCCCTCTGAGAGCAAGAACTGATGGCGCCTGAAGCTGGTTCCAGTGGTCTCGCTCTTCCTATAGTCTGCTTATATGAGCCAATCAGTTCCCTTTTTTGCTTAAGCAAACTTAAGCTGGGTTTCTGATACTGGCAATTTTAAGAGTCCTGATTAATACCCCATTTATTCCCACTAAGATGGGAATAAAGATTTAGAAAGGTAAAAGAATTGTTTATTGAGAGTGAGTCTGGGTGAGTATCCCCCAAATGTCTATGTATTCAAGATGGTCTCCAGAGGAGCACTTTGGGAGGGGTGAAATATTTAGGAGGTGGGGACTTGCGGCACCCCAGTCTCTTCCTCACTTTTGCTTCCTGGCTCACGAGGTGGGTGGGGTCTGCTCTCCCCCCCGCATTGCCATCTAGCATCACTAAAGACCCAAAGCAATGGGTCCACCTGATCTTTGACTAGAACCTTCAGAACCATGAGCTAAATAAACCTTTTCTCTTACAAGTTAATTTTCCCAGGTATTTCACTGTAGTGATGGACAGCTGACAACACAGTGAAAGCAGGCTCAGCAACCCCCCTTCCCTGGTCGCACACGCCTACCTGGGGATTCCGAACATGGAATTCCTTCTCCCCTTCCTCAATTTGAAGGTAGGGGATCCATTCCTCCTCTAGTGACTCATTGGTGGGCTGATTCTCCTCTGGGACCTGCTTGCAGAAATAGGTAGCCGAAGCTGACTGGTCTCTGAAATACACCCGCCGTAGGGGAGAGGGCAGAAGACACCATGAACTCACTTCTCCCTTTGACCAGCTCCTCTCTCAGCCAAGTCACGTGGGCTCCCCTTTTGCTAGTAGGGAAGGGGTCTGAGGCATGCAAGGAAGAGTAGGAAAAAGACATATTTTTGGACAGACCAGGATTTGAGCACCAGCTCAGCTGTGTCACTTTTGGCCAAGTTATTTAACATTTTAGAACTTTGGTTTTCTGCTCTTTAAAATGGGCATAACGCCTGCCTTATATGATTGTTGGGAGGATTAGAAATAACACACAGGGGATACTGCTATATTAGAACACTTGCCTAGCATGTGCAAAACCCTGGGTTTGATCCCCAGCACTGCAAAGATCAAAACAAAAATCTAAAAACTTTTTTTTTTTTTTTTTGTATTGGAGGTTGAACCCAAGGGCACTTAACCACCCCAACCCTTTTTATTTTTTTGAGACAGAATCACACTAAGTTGCTGAGGCTAGCCTTGAACTTACAAACCTCCTGCCTCAGCCTCCTGAGTCACTGGGATTAGGTGTATGCTATCACATTTGGCTAAAAAAAGAAAACACTGATAGAGGACTAGCCTATACCTCGCTCACTGCAGGCACTCATTCCAGGAAAGTGCACAGTGACTGTCATCCCTCACCTGTGCTCTAGCACAGCAACCACAAAGCCACGGGAGGCCAGCTCCATACAGAAGGCTGAATACAACGTCCTAGAGATGAAGAAAGGAATAAGGAGAAGGGATCAAAAGAACGGCCCAGGGCTCACCCCACTCCACTGCACCCATTCCAGCCATGCTCTGCTAGTGACCACCCCAAAGGATTAAGCAGAGCAAGTGCCCCAGCCGGCAGCCCTCCTCCAGGTACTGTTCCCAAGCCCCACAGTTCTCATCCCACAAGGCTCCGCCTCCTCCTTCAGGCACTGTTTGCAAATCAACCCACAGGGCCTTGGACTCTCAGTGAGCCCAGCCTCACCTCCCAAATACATTTTGACTACTTCAATAGCATTTTTATTGTCATACACTGTATGTCCCCCAAGTTAGCTGTTAAGCTCCTAGAAGACAGAAACTCTTTTTTTGGTACCAGGGATTGAACTCAGGGGTGCCTAACCACTGAACTACATCCCCAGCCCTTCTGAATTTTGAGACAGGGTCTCATTGAATTGCTTAGGGGCTTGCTAAATTGCTGAGGATGGCTTTGAACTCACAATCCTCTTGCCTCAGCCTCCTGAGTGGCTGGGATCATAGGCATGCACCACATTTCTTTTATATGCAATTTAAATACCACTTAACACGCAGATTTTTTTGTCTTCCACCTGCCCAGGAGAAGGAAAAAAAGGAATATGGCAGACCGACTGCCTACCCCAAACACCTATTTTCCCTTTCTCCTCAATAACAGAATCTGATTTTTGGCCAACGACCCTTTTATGCCATCAAAGTATTATATTTCCCAGCCTCCCTTACAGCTGTTAGTCTGTGTAGTTAAAGGTCTAATGCAGCACAGTGCAACAGAAATTTAATGCTAAATCAATAAGTAATTTAAAATTTTCTCATAGACATATTTCCAGAAATAAAAAGAAACATACTAACTTTAATTGCACATTTTATTTAATCTATAATAACCCATTATATTTTAATCATATCTTACTTAATTATATTAAATATTAATTGTTTAATCATATTTAATCATTTTATTATGTTTTATTAAATTATAACCTATTTAACCTATTATAATTACAACATATAATAAAAAATCTTTTAAATTAATAAAACTTTTTATTACCTTTATTTCCTATTAAGTCTTTGAAACGGGCAAACATTTCATACTTGCAGCTTACCTGATTGGACCAGACACATTTCAAGGATTCAATAGGCACACAGAGTTTGATGCTACCATAACTGGCAGAGCAGGATTAGTCAATGAGGTGTAAACAAGTTGTGTTACATAGAACTTCCTATAAAATTTCCTTTATAAAGCTCCTTCCTCCTGCCTGGGATGCAGATTAATGGCTAGAACTAAAGCAGTCATCCTGGGTCATGAGAGGACTTTAGAAATGGAAGCCACAGGAGCAGAGCAAGGTTATACAATAAGTCTGATTCTCTGATAACTTCAAGGAACTACAATATCACCCTGTCTACCGCTAGCTTCCTTCTCTCTCAGAAGAGAAAAAAAACAACAACTTTATTTTGTGTCAGTCTCTATTATTTGGGGTTTTCTGTTACACACAACTTGCCCAAATCCTCACTGACACAGCAAGATCAGTTTCCTGGATCTCTGTTCACCTTCCCCGTTTCCCAGGGGAGGCAGGGAACTGCACCTCAGAGGCAGAGAGGTTTCTGTCGCCTTCCTAGTTTGAACTGTGCAGCGGCGGCAACGTTAGGCCAACCTGCCATCACAGCCCACCTGCTCAATGTACAGAGCGTGTGTCCCTGGGCTGGGGGTGCAGCTGGGTGGTACGGTGCTTGCCTACTATGCATGGTTGAAAACCTGCACTCCAAAAACAAAACAAAAAAAACAAGCATGCGTCCCTGTCTGCCCATGTCCCCGCCTGCCCACTTCAGAGGACTGCGTGGGGCCCGGTGACAGTGGCCTGCCTGTCCCACACTTCAGCGCACATGCTCCTCCCTGGGTGGGAAGCCACAGGTCTGTGACCCACAGAAAGGACCTCAGAGCCGAACAACCAACAATGGAGAGGAAACAATGTCCCTGGCCCTCCCTGCCCTGCCTTGGAATTTCACTCTGGTTAATGAAGAGTGTTTATAACTGGCTCCACCTGGTCCCTGAGATGTGAAATCTGAATACAGATTCTTAGACCCCAAAGACCACTTTCCAAGTCAGGTGCTCACTACTCTCCCAGAGCCGGATAGTGGGCTCAGGCGGGAATGTTTCTTAGTTTCTTTTCCTGGCCTGACCACCGCTTCCCTGAGGGCAGAGACTCTCACTTACTACTCAATGCCCAACCCTAGCACAAGCTCTGGCACGAGGCAGGCTCTCAGTTTACCTGCTTGCCTTGCCAGCCTCACCTCTGCATCTATGCTCCACTTCCGCCCAGGCTAAGTCTTTATACCAGCTCTTCTTGGGGATTCAATCCCTGATTTAGGAATAACCTTCCCCTCGTGCCACGGAGTTGGCACAGAGCAGGTGCCCACAGGTGTCTGCTGAATGAATGAGAACCCAGCAAAACAGCCCTTGCAGTCACGGGATGAGTATTTCTCTGGAGACTATCGTTTTCTAGACACTGGGAATGACACAAACAAGGTCTCTGCCTTCACGGAGCCTGCAATCTAGAAATAGGGAAGACAGCCATTAAAGAATAATTAACACGGGGCTGGGGCTGGGGCTCAGCGGTAGAGCGCTCGCTTAGCACATGTGAGGCCCTGGGTTCGATCCTCAGCACCACATAAAAATAAGTAAATAAAGTAAAGTAAAGATACTGTGTCCAACTACAACTAAAAAATAAATATTTAAAGAAAAAGAATGATTAACATAAATAAGTTCATCATAATTATGACAAGTACTGAGAAGTACACAGATAATGTGCGGGTCAGGAGGGGTATCCTATGGAGCTGACCTCTAAACGAGGACCCTGAGGGTAACTGGGAATTAGCCAGGCAAAAGAAGGAGCAGGGAAAGAGGAACCTATGAACAGAACAGTGAGAAGATTCTAGGCAGAGGGAAAGGCCTCAAAATACACCAGACGAGGGCCCCCAGGCAGGAAATAACACGTTTTTAAGTGTTTTTTAACTAAGTGAAAGGCCAATTTGTTTGGAGAGCTGGAATGGGTAAATAGCAAGACATGAGGCTGCAAACTGCCTTGGACCTGCATCCAGGTAAGACCATGAAAAGAACTGAATTAAGTTCAAAGAGCTTTTAAAAAATTCTAATTAGGGGCCAGGCATGGTGGTGCATGCCAGTAATCCTAGCAACTGGGGAGGCTGAGTTCAAAGCCAGTCTCAGCAGATTAGCAAGGTAGTTAGCAACTCAGTGAGACCCTGTCTCTAAATGAAATATAAAAAAGGGTTGGGGAGGATGGGGATGTGGCTCAGTGGTTAAGTGCCTTGGGTTCAATCCCTAGTACCAAAAAAAAAAAAGTTCTAATTGGGGGGGGGACACTCATTTACTCATTCAACAAATATTTATCGAGCATCTTCAACATACCAGGCACCATTCAAGGTGCTGAATAACAAGATAATTTCTGGTTTTAAAAGAGATCTCCCCAGCGGGATGAGGAGAGCCACGTCCGCAATCCATATCTCAGTTATTCCAGAGGCTGAGGCAGGATCCCAAGTTCAAATCAGTCTGGGCAACTGAGCAAGACACTGTATTGAAATAAAAA